ATCTCGATACCGAGAATGAAACGGGAGGGTCCTAGATCCTTGATCTTGAACTTCTCGGCGATACCAGCCTTTACCGACGCGATGATGGCCATGTCTCGTAACGCAATCAGCATGTCGTCCACGTAAAGACACACGATGCACTTGTCATCACATGCACCTCTCGTGTAGAAGCATGAGTCAGCGTCAGTAGCCTGAAACCCCATGGTCTTGAAATGGTTGTCGATGGTCTCGATCCAGATACAAGACGACTGCTTGAGTCCGTACATACTTTGCAGTAGCATGCAGACGACATCATCTTCTCCTTGAGCCTTTGCCAGTGTTAGTAGCTCTCGAAGACCCTCTGGCAACTCCATGTAGATCTCTTCTTCGAGCTTCCCGTACAGAAACGATGTATCCACGTCGCACTGCTCGATGTCGAATCCTTCAGCACAACACTTGGCCAGCACTGCCCTGATTGAGTTCAGGTAAGTCACAGGCGCGTACGTCTCTTCGTAGTTGATGCCCTGTCGTTGTGAATACCCCTTTGCCACGAGACGAGCCTTGTGTCGAATCAATTGACCCCTTCTCATTGCGCTTTAACTCGAACACCTAGCGGCAACCGATCGCTTGGCACTAACTTCCAGGTACCCGTGTCCGTTAGCGACTTGAGCTCACTTGCAATCGCTTTCTTTCAGTTGTCTTGGCCCGCACTAGTAGTCACCTCCGCGCACGTCTTCGGGACATCCTCGGTGGCAGCCATCAGCTGTTCACTCTCGACAATGGCGAGTTCGTTGCCACTTGGCCTAGGTCGCTCTTGAGTCATATTCTGACGCTTTGTAATACTCGACGATGGCGCATCGATAATTTGCTTCTTCCTGGTGCTTGCCTCTTCAGGATCCGTTTTTTCGTCAATGGGCCGAACACGCGAACGAGTAATCATAGGATGTGTCGAGTCGTATGGCACCATTGCATAATCCATGCTCACGTCACGTTGAAGTGGAATCACGTCAGCAACTTCAACATCGGTGGGAACGATTTGCGTGGAGTCATTCAGCGACATCTGATCCACGCTTAGCACCAATGCGTCTGTATCGTCTTCTGCATCCAAGTGAGTCATGATGCGCGCAGGATCAGCTGTCTAAAAACACTTCACGGTGCGCACGATTTGCACCTTTCCTGTTGCCATGTTGAGGACGCGGTACCCCTTCACTCCATCCCCGTAACCCATGAACTGACACTTGAACGCTTTTGCATCCAGCTTTTAGCGCTTCTCGCCGGGGATATGAGCGTATCCAACTGCACCGAGCACCTTCACGTACTTGAGTTGTGGTTTGGAGTGACTCACAATCTCGAAGGGTGTCCTCACATTGACCGAGTTGGGGATCCGATAGATGTTCCAGGCCGCAGTGCTAACTGCCTCCGCCCACCTCTTCCTGTCGACACTCTCATGATAGAGCATGCTGCGAGCCATCTCCACGAGGCTTCGATTTATGCGCTCAGCCAGTCCATTCTGATGAGGTGTGTACGGCACCGTCTTCCCATGCTTGATGCCGCGGCGGTTGAGGTAGGCCTTAAGCACCCGGCCCGTGTACTCACCGCCGTTGTCCGAACGCAGGCGCTTGATTTTTTACCAGTTGCACTCTCGATTCCGGCCTTGTTCGTTTTGAACTTCGACAGTACTTCTGATTTGGCCTTCATGAAGTAGACCGTAACGTGGCGTGAGTAGTCGTCAATGAATGTGACGATGTACAACCACCAGGTGTCGGGGTTTGCATCGGACCCTTTACGTCCGTATGTACCAGGTCAAACACACCGGCACCCTTGACGAGCATCTCCGGATGTCTCGGGTAGTCGTCAGCCTTCATCTTTCCCATGCAGCAGCCTGCGCACACGTCGTCCCCGTGGACTTCTCCCGTGATGCGAGGCACTCCTTCTGCCATGGTCAGTAGTTTCTCGTAGCGCTTGTACGGGATGTGGCCAAGTCGGGCGTGCATAACAGCCCATGGCTCCTTACGAGTAGTCGTTGCAACACGACACACCTCGCTCCCCCCACTGTCTTCAACTTGTAGATTTTTCCATAGTACTTCGCCTCCGTGACGGTAGCACCACCAGAGATAAAGACACACGTGTCCTTGCTGAACTGCGCGGTGACGTCTTTCTTGGCCACCTTCGACACCGAAAGGAGGCTTCCTTCAACTTTAGGGCTGTACAGGACATCCGACAGCGTGACAGACGTCCCGTACATCGGCTTCATACCGACGGTGCCCTTTGCAATTGCGTCGAATTTCGTGCCACCCGCGATCGTGATACGGACTGGCGTCTTCAGCTCCTTTATGGACACGAACTTGTCCCGGACGCTGGTCATGTGCGAACTTGCACCTGAGCCGACGAGCCATTCACTCTTGGTGATCGCACTCGTTGCCATGAACGAGAAGTCGGACGGATCCTCTCGCGCCGCTTGCCCTCGTTCCTCGTCGGCCTTTTTCTTACGGCACTCGAGCTCTCGGTGTCCTTGTTTCTTGCCGTAAAAGCACTTGCCCTTGAAACGTTGCTTGCCACCGAAATCTTTCTTCTTCGTAGCGAAAGCTTTCTCTTGAGCCGATGACGATTCATCCGAGGGTTGAACACCAGAGAGTGCTTGGATCGCGTAGGCCAACGTCACGTTTGGCGTGTTCTCGAGGACAGTACTGATCATCTTGTACTCGTTCGTCAAACTGCCAAGGAGCAACACAAGCTGGCGAGTCTCGTCCAGAGTCTCACCGATCGGCTTCATGTGGAGGACGATCTTCTTGAACTGATTGACGTGGGAAGCGAACTTGGTACCAGGCTCCATCTTGAAGTTGTTTAACGTCTTTGTGACGAGAAGCCGGTTCTTGAGCGTCTTCTTGTTGAAGTGCTCCTCGACCATCGTCCACGCCTCAGCGGCAGTCAGTGCTCCACGGACGTAAACTTGGTACGTGAGACTCACGTCTCCAGCGATAACACCAAGTGCCTTCAGATCGTTGATCTTCCATTCTGCCGTGGAGCGATCACTCACTTGGTCGAACGCGGGCTTGGTGATCTGTGGGAGCAGTCATTTCCGAGCAAGCTTCATCCGCATGTTGAACTCCCAGAGGAAGTAGTTGTCTTCCACGAGTTTGTCGATGTTGTCGGCGTAGCTTGGGCTCATAACCAATTGAGCGTATGCGTTCGAGGCTTGTAGTAGTCGAGTATTAAGAAGAAATGAAATCCGAAAGTGAGTTTTTTTAGTTAGCTGTTCTTGTCTTGCTTTGCTAGCTCCTTTCTACTTTCCTCCGTAGTCCTCCTAATCACATGTAAATCCATACACAAAAGATACATTTCGTCGGCAACGCCTATACTCGTCGTATGCGTTGGCGACAAAAAACACTTGCGTTTTGCATGTGAGCTGGACATGCACAAATTTGGGATCAGCCAATCAGATAGCCCCATTCGACCCACTTCAACTTTTGATCCCTCAAGGCACACGCTTGCTACGCACCAACCGCGTGCTCCAGGTGCGTGCCTACAGGTAGGAACCCAGGCGAAGTGACGGCAAAGTGCAATCCCAACAAAGAGAGCGTTGTAGAAGCTCCGCCCGCAAGGGTGGATCCTTGCTGGAGCCAAAGGCACGACCCGAGGTGAGCTGAGTGCTCCCTATAGTTCTGGGACAGGTGTTGCTCTTCGCGGTGATGTCCCTCGCAGGATACATTATGCTCCGGGCGTGTTCGCGATGACTGTCGTGTCCTGCGGTGCGAGCTGTGGTGAATGCCACACGTTCAGATGCCATTGCACCCTGTGTCAAACCACTGTACGCGCGCTAGCGCAGAAGCAGGCTTTGAGACCAGCAACCGTTTTGAGCATAGGGATGCAAATCCCAGTCTGCTTTGGGTGAACAAGTCACTCTGGGTGCGACTAAGAGCCGCGACAATCTCGTTGCTGCTCAGTGTGAGAATTAACCTTTGGGTGTTTTAATTTTCTAGTTCTGAATGGGGAATCAAGTGATACTCAGTTAAGTGGGGGAGGATGTAATGCTGTACAATCCAGTCTAGCCCAGGTTACATAAAGAGTGACCCGTCACTCTTGTGAATATCTGGCACACGGTACCACGAGCTCTCAGGGCATAGCTACATAGCTCCACTAAAGGTAACCTCTAGTTTGTATAAAACCCAAGCTAAGCTTACTTATCAATACATCTGTCTTATTGTGCATTTCAATGTTTTTTTTCCTTTCCCCTTAGCCTGATGCTCGATTTATAATAAATAGAGGCCGTTTTATTCAATCGAGGTCTATAAAAAGTACAAATCGATCAAGCTTAAACTGGCTGGTTAATCAAACCACGGCAGCCGCTCGAGCACCAAACCACATCGACATCCTGTAAATCGACCCTTTATGCCGTTATGAAATGGTAATTCGATCACAGATAAAACAACTCGATACCTGCCTCTTCCCATCTCATTTTTACGCGTGGTTTTAAGCTCCGACCATGCTCGATCTAGGCTATGGAACGGATTGACATTCCATCTGCAAAGCATACATCTACTCCTTTAAATAGAAAACCGTTCCCACTAAGACCGGGGACACGTGAACTAACGCTCACCCGGATAGTAAATACCCTTAAGCACTTCCTCTGAGCGAGGTGCTGTGTGACCCCGTCACAACGGAGTTTAGTAAAGTATACGCACGAAGAATATTTTCAAGGGAAAGTGCTATTCCAAGACGCCGAAAATACAAGTACCTCGCATTTGGAGGTGAAGTAAATATCGAGCTGTAATCACCAGGTTATAATCTACGCCAATATGACCCCCCCCCCCCCTCAAATAAGTTAAGCGCTTGCTTCAAGACGACGAAAATGTCTTACACCCAAGTTTGGACATTTTTGTTCTTACTAGTAGTAGGAGATCGCTGTCCGAGGTTTCTCGTATTCTAAGTGCAGATTTGTACTGAAATCAAAATTTACACAACTTTTTCGCAACAGCAAAAAATAATAGCTGTAAATTTTCTCCGCATCTGAAGCTTTATCGCTACGATGACGATTTCTTAAGCTTCATCAAGTTTTTCAACTTCTTCACCTTTTTTGCCTTCTTGGCCACGTCGATGAGTTTGCTAACGTCTATCTCCGGCTTCTTGACGATCTTATTAGTAGTATGGGCTATGGCTTTCCAGACTCCACCGTTCCCGTCCAGCGTGCCGCCTTGGACAACTTCTTGGCCTTCGACCCGAAGGGATCTTTTGTCAGGGGACGCCTTTGACAAGAGCTGAGGCTCCTTGGGATTCGGGAACGCTTCGACGGAGCTACTGCGAGCTAAGACCGCAAAGGCAAGAGCAACGTAGAATATACTGCGCATGGCTTGTAGGCACGGATTTCACTGGAAAGAAGGGCCTTGTGGTCTGGAAAGAAAAACGTGAAGTGAGTGCCAGGCATTCTTATTAGCAGACTAAACCGGTGGACGGCGTCTCACAGTAGCGATCGTGTTGTTTGCGCGCATTGGTATTTACTCAGTTCCAATGCGTTTGCTTCAGCGAGCAACCCCACAACATCACAGCAGTACCGACGATCTGACATGAAAAGTTACAGACTGTACCGCATAGAGTTCAGGTAACATTTTCTGATATGTATATTTACATGTAGGCTCATCATTATTGACAAAAGAATAGTGACACCAAATTAAGTAGATAATACTGGACCTTAGTACAGCAATTGTATTATTCGTGTTCGGTACTAAACACATATCGATTTACAACCTACTGGTATGGAGAAACGTCAGACGAGGCATATGCGCTTGTACATGTATTGCAGCTTTCTTAAAAAAAAATTAATAGTACTGTACATGTAGAATTTAACCATCGCAAGCGTAAATCCTCCTCGGACTAAAACAATTACATGTAGATTGCGCGCGTCAGAGCTCTGTCACTGTATTGTTCGCTGAATAGAAGACGAATTGATTGATGTTTGCTTTTGGCATTAAATAACTCAATATCTGTAAGCTGGGCAATTTTGCTAATGTCTGTTTCACCATCTTTTGTCGAGCACAGTACATGAAAGTACCTACATGTAAGTTCCTTTGTCTTTCGCCGTCTGTGCAGCTGTAACCGCCAACCTATTTTTTTTACTTTGAAGTACTTCGTAGAATAAAAAGAGGAGGGTATTTACCACATCCAGCGATCTGGGGTACAATAGGGTGCATACAATACGTGATTGCAGGCTCGCTGCTCTCAAAACCTGATACATTCACGAGGTATAGTATATGTACACTATACTACAGTACTACTGTACAGTAGAGAGTAGTGAACTCGGCATACTCCGAAGTACATGTTTGTGATTTCTACTACACACTTACTAACTGGTAGTGGTGTTTACAAACATGTTTGTGAGTTTGTGGTCTTACTATAGAAAATCATTAGGGTTATCGTCCTATTAATAGTCGTTTCTTCTTCATTTAAAAAATTCTGTACACACCTAGTACATGTATGTACTTCACACCGTGGACGAATCGCACACTGTGCGATGTGTCGGCTAAAAGGGTGTTTATAGAAGAAAACAATGTCCCTATCATGATAAAGAAATGACCAAATATTTTAACAGGGCTGTGAATAAATATAATAGGCAGAAATGCATACACACATAAACTTGATAGCGATAAGTGAGCCCATCTCAACCAGCCATTTTTATAGGTATAAGATCGAAATGACGAAGAACCAGACTGCACCACCAAAACAATTAGCAATCAAATATCTTAACAATACAGTAGCCCAAGTGCGACCACTATTAAAATAAAGAAAACTCGCAACACTCACAATCCGACAGGGAACGATGGGAACAAAAACCGATCACAGAATTGCTGTTGTGGGGAATCCGACATAAGTGGCGTATAAAACACAAACATAACTAGAATAGCAGCTAAACAAACATCACGAATGAACACGCTCCCGCTACATAGGTGTCGCGTAATACGTGCCCTGGAACTTAACACTAAGTAGGAAAAGGCTGGGCTGAGTTGTTTATTGTACAACGTCCGTAATGTATTTATTTGTTTATTGTACAACGTCCGTAATGTATTTATTTGTTTATTGTACGCCGTCCATAACGTATTTGTTTTTTTTATTGTACGTCGTCCGTAACGTATTTGCTCAGTAGCGGTACAAATCAAGCTTACCGGATCACCTTTGTTCCGGAGGCGGTACTGATAATTATAAAAGATTAGCTTGCATCGCGCACACTGATAAATGCGCTACAACTGAGCTATTAATAATAGAGCATTACTGCTGTTTGTATCTCAAACACAGCGCAACGTATTTACTTAAATGTTTTGTTAGCACTACTGGTGCAAATTTTTGACCGCTACCTATACAGCATTTACATACTACCTCCGTTCTGAAAAAGATAACCATTTCAAATTATATTACAGCCTACCCAAAAAAATACCCCCTCTATGCCGATCACTTTTTTGGATTTCGAATCTCCCGCGCTTTCCCGACCAGACTGGCTCCCGCTCCCAGCTTTCAGTTTGAAAGCTGGCACCTAGGGGAGATCACAGACAGTGAGCGCCAGGCCGTCTGGGAGACCTTACTGCTTCGCAGCGTGGGAGAAGTGATCAAACATGGAGAGATCGTTCGGGTTGCAGCGTACTTCCGTGTGGGCCGCCAAGTTGTCGAACGAATTTGGAGGCGTGGAATCAATTCGATGGGAGATCGAGTAGCAGCCGTGGTCAAGTCAAGGAAGAGCGCATGTGGTAGGAAGAAGGTGGATCGAGCTGAGCTGTGCGAGAGAATCGCTGCAGTTCCTGTCAAAGAGCGCGAAAACCAGCGTCTGCTTCAGCGCGCGTCCAACATGAGCTGCTACCTGGTTCAGCAGCTCATCAAGGAAGGTTACATACGGCGTGCGCTCGGACAGACCCGTCCACTACTTACACCCACGCACAAGTTGGCGCGCCTCCGGCACAAGGACAAGCAAGTACGAGCTGGCACTCTCCCTACGTCACTGCCTTGTGACGCTATCTCACTCGCCAATGCTAACGCGTACCTGCTGCTTCTTGCAGCGAGAAGCCCCCCCACCGCCTACTGCTAAAGTTCCAGAAGCCCCACTGAGCACCCCTTCAGAATGTGGCGATGTAGTTGCCGCCTTAGATCCGTTTTTGTATCTGTAGTTGCACGGCGGAGCATGAACGCCTGTGCCTTGCTTAGTTTCTCACTGTTAGCTCTCGGTCATAAAGCTCCTCTCACAAATTAATAAACGCTCAAATGAACGGCGGGGCGCTGCGCAAAAAACAAACAAATGGTTATCTATTTCCGAACGGAGGTAGTATTTCGTACCTTGAAAAATAATTCGCATCGCCTATCAAATTACAGTCTTTGTAAATTGAATACCCTCTAAATGTGCTAATCTCGTGTCCCGCACCACAAACCTCGGTACCCGTCTAAGACGATACATTCCCTGCAAAACTGTTGGCTGTTTGCCGATTGTGCTCAAATTGCAAGATCAATTGAAGGACGGACAAAGCAGAGGATAGGCGTCGCTGGCGACTATGGTGGCAAATGAAGAGCGCTCACTGCTGAATTTGTGTTGTGTGTGGCCGGGGTGAGGGGGTATGCGTAGGTGAGCGGGCAGGGGATCGTGCTCTTTGTTGCGTTGATTATAATGGTTTCTGCTCTATATGTCATGGTAGGCGCTGGTGTGCACGATATTGCTTTAAAAAGAGAGAAGGCCTGGTGAAAAGCAGTATTAGCGCCTACACGTCGTCCCACAATGAAGTCGCTGCCCATGCGAGAGTGAAGCAGTGGATAACCTGCCTGTCTTGTGCTTTAAAGGCGAAAGCAAGTGTGAGGCCTCCTTACGCATAGCGCTCTGCTACCTCGTGGAAGCATATCTACAGTAGAAGTTGGACGTCTCGGCGGCATTCATGGTGTGTGTCGGCGTTTGTCGTTGTCGTAATCCGACGTCCAAAAGTAAGCCTCGAGAGCTAACAGCGGAATAAGAACGCCAGCAGCTAGACTGAAGTGAAACAAGCACACCCACAGTCTAATCGTAATTCTTGTCTGTCACCATAGAATACGTAGACCAAAACACGCACCTACTTTCAAGGACAATAGCCTGCACAAATCTTATAGTTGAAATAAAATCGAGGCGGAACGCTGCCCAATTTTTTTTAAGTGTTTAATTTTCCGGACGAAGGTAGCTCCGGCTTGTTCCTATTCATACTCGAAATGCTCGCTGTATGAAGCTTAGTGCTTGATACTCGATTCAGTAGTCAAGACGAATTGCGACGAAATGAAGTAAAACAAAATTCACGAGCAATGTATAACTACAGTACACGCGTAATTTTCCAACCAATTCCGCTCCGTCCTACTCCTGTTTGCGCTAAAAGCTGGCATTTCAAGAGGCTAGAGACAGTACAGTTCATCTTCGCTTGCGAGTTTGAGAAACACCATGTCGTTGGCGAGAGTAACGTTGATTTGTATAGTAGGTCATGCGGCTTGCATTGTCTCTCATGGAGTTGAATCCGGTCCCAGTCGGCTTCGATCTGTCCTTTTAGTACTACAGTATCGCCGTCATCAGCACAGACAATCCTACTCTACGATGAACTACCGTGTGTAATAGTAGTAAAGAAACACATTTCGATGCTGTCTTTAGAAAACGGTCCTGAATCCCGTGGAGGAAATTACATATTACTCGTCAAGGATTGGTTAATTTATTGCTAACTTATGGACTCACCAATATTTGCCTTTGGATGGCGTTAATGATGTCGGCCGTTTTTGACCTAGTTGACCGACACGCGTGAATTCAATATCGACCTTGTTGCATGCTAAGACGTTAACATTATCGCGTCGTGCACGTCTCTTTAGCCGACTGCATCTTAGCTCTGCTTTTAATGTGGTTAGCATTTGGAGGACTTACTGCATTTGTACAACGTACCAACATCGATAGCAATAGTACGGCAAATATCTTAGTGAAAAAGGCTAATCAATTCGTTTAGCGGTGATAGCGAATGGAACATGTTTCGTCGCAGAGGCCGAAAATAATAATTGCGAATTATAAACTATTGGGTTTTGCAGTATACATTTGTATTATTGGTAGTTGACCTTATCAATACAAGATGGTATTGGATCAATTATTGACAGTAAAGGTCCCCTGGTAGGACCCGTAAAATTGTTTCGATATGACACCACCAATCAGATCTGATGATATAATTTTCACTGCTCACCAAACCATCTCACGCCAACCTGAAACCAGTGGCTACTAGAGTGTCTGGTAAGCTACGATACGCGAGCCACATCTCAAACTTCACTTCATTTTCGAACTACGATGGTCCTAAATAAGCAAATCGCCGCCTACTTCTTCACGTCACTT